CTGACAGTCTTACGTGGTGATGTACAAGCAAGAATACAAGCAAGAATGATATAGACTGTTAGAATCAAAGAGATTTTTCCAACCTATTCGCTACTACTACAGCCTTAAGAGGAACAGTATGTCCAGTTTTCAACAGCAAACATGAAAGATTTCAATAACAGAGAACTGTGAACCAATAAACAGAGATTTAGAAAATATGACCTAAGATGCATTGAAATACCTTTTTCATTCATCGATGAGGAAACACACCAATATTAAAATGCTTCTGAGGTGGAGAATAAAATGTAGGTAACAAAATACTTTTCATCCTGTATGGATGAATCATTTTCAAGGGTTGCTCTGGAATATGAACCCAAAGGTGGAAAATGTAGCAGTGAGTTTAAGGGTTTAAAGCTTCTGCATATGTAAGAGGAAAAATCTGTCTGAGAGGATATCAGAGTATGGGAATGGTTTTCCTGAGGAAGTTTTGGTATCTTCATTACTGGATGTTTTCAAAAAATAACTTATGCAAGAATTCCTGAAATGGTTTAGGCTGTTCCTAGCCTCTTTCTAGGACCAGTTGGATTCAATAAGCTTTATGTGATTTGAATGCTATGTTTCATTTTGAATGTCGATACTAGCTGCAGTTGCTCAATTGTTGCTTTCTGTCTACCCCAAATTAGCAGGACCTCTTCTGTGCTTCTCTCTTCTCTGACTTAATTTTCCCCCCTTACACTTTTCTCCACTTTATAAATAAATGAAGAAGAAGAAATAAAAAAAAGGATTCAATGTGTTGTAATATGTTATATTTCTTCAATATTTTGTCATAAATAGGATGAAATCTGGAGGGCAGAAAAGGTTTTTCTTTGTAATCTTCTGACATTAGTCTTCTTTCTAGTATACCTGTGGTGTCCAGTGATCCCATAGCCCCTATGTTAATATTATTTTTTCAGCAGCTTGATTCAGGGATAGTATGGTCTCCAGAAACACTAACAAATTGCACAACGAGAGTATTGCACAGCAGCTGATAATGCTGTGGAAATTGTTTCAGGGAGCTGGTGCAATACAATGCTTTAGTATATGTGTATATACACTCTATCTTTTTATGTGGACTAATAGGCTTTCACAGCTGCTTTTTAGATGCATAGATAGCACAACTGAGGCAAGTATATATCTGCTCTTGGAATGCAGGCAAATTTCAAAAGACCATTTATTGACAGAATTGTGTGCAAATAACGTGTGTCTTGTTTTCCCTTTCTTCCCCACACTTTTAGCTGGCTGTGAGGTGGTTGGAACACAACTGCCGCTACCAGTATCTGGATGAACTTCTCCAGTATGTCCGCTTTGGCCTTATGGATGTGGATACACTGCATACTGTAGCTCTTACTCATCCTCTTGTCCAAGCCAGTGAAACTGCGACAGCGCTCATTAATGAGGCCTTGGCTTACCACCAGAGTGTCTATGCACAGCCAGTTTGGCAAACTGCAAGGACAAAGCCTCGCTTCCAGTCAGACACTCTTTATATTATTGGTGGGAAGAAACGAGAAGTCTGTAAAGTGAAGGAATTGCGATACTTCAACCCGGTAGACCAGGAGAACGTTCATATTGCGGGGATCGCTAACTGGAGCGAGCTGGCACCTATGCCAGTGGGGAGGAGCCACCACTGCGTTGCTGTCATGGGAGACTTTCTTTTTGTAGCTGGTGGAGAGGTGGAGCACTCCACAGGGCGCACGTGTGCCGTGAGAACTGTCTGTCGATACGACCCCCGCACTAACTCCTGGGCCGAGATAGCTCCGATGAAGAACTGCCGGGAACACTTTGTGCTGGGAGCCGTGGACGAGTACCTGTATGCCGTAGGGGGCAGAAACGAATTGCGTCAAGTGCTGCCCACAGTCGAACGCTACTGCCCCAAGAAGAACAAGTGGACCTTTGTACAGTCCTTTGATCGGTCACTCTCATGCCATGCTGGATATGTGGTGGATGGTCTTCTTTGGATATCAGGTAGAAAACGTTTCACACAATTTGAGGTACTAACAAAATACCAAAATACTGTCTTGAATTAAAGTAATAAATCTTTGGTTTATATGTCACGATAACTTTTCTCTGCAGAGAGGACAAAGAACTGAATCCTCATTTGGAGTATAGGAGCGTAATGTATAAAATACATTACGCTCAGTATTTCAGAGCTGCTGATATCATATGTACTATCTCCAGTTGCCATTCATAAATCACAGTGAACTGGAATGATAATGCACTTCTGGACAAATTTCCAGTGATAAATTCTGTGTGCTTCCTAAAAACAAACTAAAAAAGACATTGCTTCTGTAATAGGATCTGGTAATTTGACAGTCACAGGACCCAAGGGAATGGCCTGAAGTTGTGTCAGGGGAGGTTTAGGTTGGATATCAGGAAAAGGTTCTTCACCACAGGTTGATTGGGCACTGGAACAGGCTCCCCAGGGAGGTGGTCATACAATCACCCTGACAAAATTTGGGAAGCGTTTGGACAGCGCTTTGGGCATATGGTGTGATTCCTGAGCCTGTGCAGGGCCTGAAGTTGAACTTTGATGATCCTTGTGGATCCCTTCCAACTCAGAATATTCTGTTAGTCACTTATTCCTGATGGTGAAATGGAAAATTAAGTGCTTGTTAGCTTTTATTGTTCCAGAAGTTGAAGGCAAATGTATTATTTGCTCCCACTTGCTCTTCAGAATAGTGAAACAGACTGAGATGACTGTTTTTAGAAATCATCCATGACTCTGTCCATAACAAGTGCACAAGGCTGTCTGGATGTAATCATGGCTTTATGGCACAGATAGATGAATGTATAGACCCTATAATCCTAAAAGAATGTGTAATTTGCAACTGAGTCTTTAGTTACGTGCCATTGTTGAGAGTGGGAGGATTTCGTTACCTCAGTCCTCGGAGTGGGTATTAGTTATTTTGGAATATGGCCGATGCTGTCTACAGAAGATTTGACAGAAACATATCCCCCCTTTACTAAGAAGTGTGCCACGGAAGGTTATATAGTTATAATATTTATTAAGGAAGCTAATGAGTAAATGGGGCCAGCCCTTGAGGTAAATGTTCAGTGATTGGCATCTTCACCATAGATACCTTCTGGGGATTTTAATATGGTCTGGAATGCCTCTGGTGAAAGGATGGAAAATGAATGGAAGATTAAGTTAGCTTCTTAGGCCTGTGCTGTGCTTCTCAAAGTGTGTCATTTAGGCTAGCAGATGAACCTTTCTGTCTCTATGGATTAAGTGCCTCATGGGAATGGATTCCCAAGCATGGGGAGGGGAATTAGCAGGTATCTCTTTTAAGACATATGCACTAAAGTCATTAATGGTGGCTTTGGCATTAAAAGCAGAACAGAACACAGCAAATCACCAAGATCCCTGGCAGGTACTTTGGGTCATTTTCTTTAGTCACCATCATTTAGGGAGTCTTGTAGAGTCTGTGCTGTGTGAAACCTGAGGAGAGACCCAGGTAGAGTACAGGAACAGGATTTCTGCATTAGGCTACCAGCTTGGTATTCAGAGCATTATTGTGTTTATTCACTACTTTCCCTATTTTATTAGCAGAGAGGGGTGTGTTTGCAGTGGGCACTTCAAATACATGGATGTTACTATTGCTGTGTCTTGATTGCTATTTTTTTGTTTTGTTTTGTGGCTTACATTTGTCAGTATTTATGAAGAATAGGACCTTTTAAAAAATGGTGTTACACATTCTCACGTGAAATCGTTGAATGTGCACTAGAAAAAAGTAATATTTTTTGTCTTAATCTCATGGGGAAAAAAAACCTAAACAACAAAACAAAACCATCAAAACTCAAGTATCTGATAGCATTTTTAAAGTCAAACAAGGGGCTGGTTGAAGATTAAATTTAGTCTTTACAAATTTGCTAGGAAAGGGGAAATTATCCTAAGGATTAATTCGTATGCTTAGTTATGTAGGTGAAATGTATGCCTGTGTATTTTAAATTCCACTTTTGTTTAGAAACTTATGCAGTGTGATATTGTGTTCAAGGATATGCCTCTAACAGAGCTGTAGAATCAGTGGAAGAGGTAAGTGGAAGCTTACTGGATGAATTCTTTAAAACTAGGCAAAACAACAAAAAAACATTTTAGCAGTATTGTTCCATTTATATTTGAAAATGCTACCAACAGTGGAATAAGGTAGACATGGCTTTTCAGTTGTATTTTGATAGATTCTGAGAAAATGCTTAGAAAGTTTTGAGTTTCTCAATTATGACAGGTTATTATGAATTATGAGAGTGCACTTACTGTGCTGTACTTCAGTAGATATCAATCTGAATTTTGTCCTCTCACACTGAAACCTGGTTGTGTATTGAATAGAGTTATTTTAAAAAGAAAATTGGATGGAGATGTAATAACTGTAGCTATCTTTCTATTATTAATTAATTGCTTAGGACCAGAATGTAGGTTGTGGTACATATACATTCAGGGGCAGGGGAATAGTACAGAGAGATGTTTTATTGTATCATAGTCACTGCTGGAAAATCCACTGTTCATCACCGAATATAAGAAGTTAGCATGAAAGTAATTAGCAATGCAGGAGGGAACCTAATTTTGAAGTATGTGGCCTAAAATTAAGTAATTAAAAAATTAGTCTGAGTTAGAAATGTTTTGAGCTGCATTCCTGCTGCTTTTTCTGGGAAATACAGGCCATCAGCAAAGAGCTCTCAAAGTCAGTCTGCTGCTATGAGCTGGCAAGGGAACCATGGAAATGTGCCCAGGTTTTTAGTGAGAGAATAAATTAAATAGTGATAATATAAGTTTCTAGCCCTTCTATTTGTGGAGAGTGTCATCAAAGCTTGATCTGCACACTGAACATTAACTTACTCAGTGCCTCTGCTACAGCCCCATGCCCTCTTAAAGGCTTTGCTGATCAAAAGCTAACTAGACTTAAGGAATTTCTATTATTATTTGGATTCATTTTCAGCTTTGCTTTGCTGCTCCTTTGGGACAAATATGACAAGGATTCAAAACTAATAGTTAATAAAATCATGGCAAAGGCAGCAGGAAAGGAAAATGGACAAAATAGACTGCTGTGTGAGTTTACACACTGGCAGTCGTAGGTGGGTGGCTTGTGTTCAGGTGACAGAGGGACTCCTAAGCTACTACCATCTCTTTGGGGTTTTTAACCTGACAGAAGAAAATTAAAAGAGGGAGCCTTTTGCACATTGAAACTAATCAGTCCCTCTGCTCAGCACAAGTGGGTTCAGCCCTTGAGTTTTTCAAGCTCCATATTTTCATATTTATGTCATTATTTATTGTTTTTCCCCTGCAGTCATAATTTTATTTTCTTATTTGAAGAAAAACAAAGCATGAGAATTTATTAAAATAATGTGCTGGTTTTGGCTGGGATAGAGTTAGTGTTCCTCCTAGCAGCTAGTCTGGGCAATGTTTTGGATTTGTGCTGGAAACAGTCCTGGTCACACAGGGATATTTTTGTTATTGCTGAGCAGTGCTTCTACAGAGTGAGGGTGTTTTTTACTTCTGACCCCACCCCACCTGTAAGGAGGCTGGGGATGGGCAAGGGCTTGAGAGGGGACACAGCCTGGACAGCTGACCCCTGCTAATCAAAGGGATATTCCTGATTATCTGGTGTCACACTCAACATATAAAGCTGGGGGAAGAAGGAGGAAAGGGTGCTCATAGTGCTGATGTTTGACTTCCTAAATCATCATTATGCTTGATGGATCCCTGCTCTCCTGGAGATGTCTGAACAGTTGCCTGCTTATAGGAAGCAGTGAATTAATTCCATGTTTTGTTTGCTTGTGTGCGTGGCTTTTGCTTTACCTCTTAAACTCTTTATCCCAACCCACAAATTTTCTCAGTTTTACTTTTCCAATTGTCTCCCCATCCCATGCTGGGGGGAGTGAATGAGTGTCTTTGTGAGTTGCTGACTAGGGTTAAACCACAACAAATAAGTTCTCTGTACTGACATTGCATTGGGCAGGTGGTTTGGAAATTTTATAGAAAGGTGATTCTTCTAGGGCCCAGTTAACATCTGATGCCATGTCCAATTTCACAAATGAATTGCATGCCACAATGCTTGTAAAGTGAAGTATTTCAGTGAAAGAAAATCTATGTACACTAAACACTTTGGAGTTCAACATGACTAACAGTCACTATCTATAAAAGCAGGGAGATATTTTCCATAAGAGCGAGGACTTGAACTATGCCCATTTCCCAGCATCCTCTGTGGAGTGCACATGCAAATCTGGAGACCTCCTTTTCTATCCATGTTAACCTTCCTCCACTGGTATAGGTCTAGTGCCCCTGGGGACATCGAGGGATAGGGAACCTCTGCCAGGCATTGCAGCTCTGAGCCATTCCTGCACCTGCATCTTGGGATAATGACACTTCCCTTTGCCTTAGGTGCTCCAGAGATTAGCACATGAAAAGTCTTGTTTAGAACAAAGTGTTACACAGGTGTTTTGCAGTGGCCCAATTTGTCTGACCTTAAGTGTGTCAGCTAAAATAACATCTTGACATGCACATAGAAACTCAGCTTGGGGGAAGGGGGTAAGCAAGCCATCCCTCTACAGTTGCTTTGTATTTAATATAGCAAATAATTTTTTTTTTCAAAATTTAAG